CATACTTGAAAGTGAATCGTCATTTACTGTTATTTTAGCCTTCTGAAGCAATACAAATAAACTTTCGAATTGTGGACGAGCTGTGACCGAACGTAATTGTAGTGTGATTTTTTTATGTTGATTTTCTAAATATTCTTGAACACCAGGTTTATCCAGATGAATGAAAGGTACAATCTGCACAGAATTTTCCTCTGTCATCGCCTTTTGTTCACATTCAATTGCATAATCCAATTCACTAATACCAGCCGATACTTGTTGACTAGCTACTCGTGCATATTCACCGAATCCACGTAATGCTCCAGCAACAAATCGATCATCACAATGTGAGATTAAATAATCAATAATAATCGATCTAGTAATGTTTATGATTACTTTTTCAGTTGGAATAGTAGCATCTTGACAGGCAGCTTTGGCTGCAGTAACCGTTTCATGTGTTTGTGCTTGCGACCCCCAGAGTACACATGGAATGGTTTTAAGTCGATCTCGAATAGTATAGATATGTGCATTGATTTGATCAGATGAGTAAGAACCTTTGCCGAATTCTTCCAATTGATCACGAAGAATGTCAACATCTTTTCGAGTACACGTACTGTAGAGTTCGATAGCATCATCTGGAAAATTAGCATACTCTTGTTTGGATAAATATCGTGGTCGAATTACAGCACCATGTTTGCGAAGATTGATGTTGTACCATCGTTCGATTTCGTGTTTATCTGTGACAAATGCTATTCGTTCAATGATTTGACCAGTTTGAGCATCGACTCGATCGAGTTTTTCATTGACAAATATACACCAAGCCATTGGTGTATCTGTATCAATATATGGTGAAACATTTCCATAAACTGGTTTCTCATAAGTAATCGAACTATCGGCCAATCGTAGTAGAAAACCTTTTAAAACATGAACAGTTAAGATTTGATGAATAGATTGTAAAACTTCAGCTGAAAGATTTATTTTTGGAGCAAGTTCATGAAGAATTTTCATCCAAAATGCAGATCGATTTTCATCTTGATCTAGATCAGTTAAATATTTATTATGTACAACTAAACCTGGTAAAGCTTGTGTAATAAAATCAGGAAAAGTTCTGCCAGATGCATCCATGACCCAAGCTAATCGAAGAGCTGCTAATGGCTGTAATGTCCAGTCTCGATCTAATGGCATGTCTCTTGAATGTTGATATTGTTGAAGACAGATTGGTAATTGACGTAGGATAGATAAGAGATCGACAGTACCATTTGGTTTTTTCCAAATGAGAATATTCAAATCTTCTTGAGCTACAGTTGGTCGATCATCAATTCTTGAAACGGATAAAATATCAAGAATAAGTGATAAACGATCAGCATCTTCTGGTGAATATAGAGTTTTCAATTGTTGTAATGCTTCAGATAACATTTCACTTGTGCAAGTCAAACTAGTTATTCGTACGTTGAAGAAAGCGACAGATTTTCCATATTTTCGTTCATTATCATCGATAATCATTGCTCGTTCACTGAAACTCATTGCATCATCCCAGAACTTTTGCAATTCTGCTTTTACCTTTGGATCATAGGCAACATTTTTGATTAATTTTTGATATTCTTGCCCAAAATTATCTAATATTTTTGTTAAATATCCGTACAATTGTTGACAAGCACTGTTGGTTTCTAAATGACTTTGTGATATTTTAATCAATGGTGTTACTAATGACATTAAATTTCGAAATTCATCTCCTCGAATACATCGTTCAAAATTAAGTTTAGCCGTTTCTTCCAAATATCGAAAGAGACCAAGAATTTTTTTAATCAAAACTTGCATTTGTTTTTCACCTTGTTCATAACAGCAATTGAAAGTTTCCAGCATTCGAGTTGATGCAAGAAGATTCGATGGAATTGTGTAACCACCAATAGTTGTATATCCGAGTAGACGAGCAAAAAACTGTTGTTCATTTAGAAATTCTTCGACAATAGTTGCTAATTGTGGATATTTTTCGGAAGCAATACCAATGTAAGGAACATTGGCATGAACACTGGATGCTATTGCTTTAGCATGTTTTTCTTCGACACCCAATGGGGACCATGGTGGTGCAACAAAGAACACAGTTCGACATTGATCTTGAAAAGCTAATTCAGCAGTTTTGTCTCTAAAATCACCATCAGAAACGATGATAGCATCGTAAGGTGTAGGAAATTGTTTTGTTCATTCAAAGGATGGTCGAAATTTAGTACTACCACCGTCGGGCCGGTAGTTTCCATTAGCAAATTCATTCAATGTAAGTAATCGACCACCAAAATTGACATGAATTGCCTCTTGTTTACGATCACCGAATAAGTATACATGAACTTGAGTACCTCGATTTTGTAATTTTGTACCTAAATCTATAATAGTTTTGACTAGAGGATTGAAACCAGCTACATCCATTGATGCACTTAAATCGACATGAATGATTACTGCACGTTTTTCCATTTGAATATTGAATTTCTTTAAATCATCCAATGTTAAAATAGCCATTTCTGGATGATATACATTGAATTGATTGATTACTCTTGTACTTTTATCTGAAGGAAGTGCCACTTTTTGCGATAAAAGTTGCAGCATTCGATGATAGACTTGCTCGATATGGGTTGATTTTTGATCCGATGGACAACTAGCAATGATTTCATCGAAATAGGTCAGAATTTGGACAAATTCTGCTTGACTACATTTTGTAACATCCAACTCAGATAGAAGAAGAACGGGCACAAATGACTGTTCATCAGCTGCCTGGCGTACTGCTGCAGCAAGCATTTGTTTTGCACGGCGTGATATTTTTCGTGTAGTTTGCAACTATAATTTTTGCTCTCAGCTTTTATACAGAGTACATGTAGCGTGCTGATGACATATTTTGAAATAAGCTGTTGTGCGTATTGTACAATTCTTCTGGTAGAAGATGTCATTTGCAAACAAGATTGTAAAAATGATGCCTAACTTTCCCATCGATAAAGATAATTGTACCACACCTTCAAAATCTTAAATCATCTTCAAACTCTTGCATCAGCAGCAAGATAAGTTTTGAATCAGAGCTCCGCGTTGGATGAAAAATTTTTTAAAAAGCTTTATGTGATGAGATGGGACAAAAATTTTTTCATCCCATCCCATGATTCCATGGTACGAAAAAACACCAGATAAAGGGTGTGGGTAGATGTTAGGCTTCAGATTTAGTTTTGTTTTCACCTATACTCAATCCAAACTCATCCACAGATCATGCACACACACCTTCCGATCCTTTGTAATTTAGCGTCGTTCCATGAGAAAATCCTGTTAGCATCAGAATAAAAGTGGCACGTTCGTACCTTATAGACACGCAGAGTATCTTCAAAGGTGTGGGTGTAGTTCTTTGAAACTGACACCTCTCCGCACCCACAGTGATTTTTTTTTTGTCTCATTTCAAAAACTTGAAATGAATTCTTTTTTCTCAAAGAAAAACTCTTCTGTTAAACTATTTCGAAAAAAAGTTATTGAATAATCTTTGATTGAGTGTTAAAATTGAAAGAAACACAGAAACCAACTTTGCTAACTACGACAAAACGTTACTTCTTACCATTGTGGAGTTTTTTTATTCTTAACCTTTTATAGGCTGAACTATCCTATACTTCAAATTGAGGATGGATTTTCAGAAATGAAACTTATGGCTTTTAGGAAATTTTCATAGTTGAAAACAATGAATTTTTTCGGCTATCAACTGAGAAAATATAATTTGTCAGTTTCTTTCGGTTCTATGATTAAATTTAGAAATTAGTAGAATCGGGATGCTACAATATTGACAATATTGTTTATGAATGAATATCTTTGCTTGAAGATGTGCGTGTGGGTGTTTTTTCACGGTATCCAATCAACACCAACATCGACCCACACCCACAACTAAGAAGAAAGCTCTCTACCTACACCAACATCCACATCCACACCCCACCCACTCCCACATTCACATTCACACCCACCCAAAATTGTGTTGAATAGATTTTAATGCACTCTTATGCATTAAAGATGGTCAACTGGGTAGAATTAGAAAGACAGAGAGTGAGAAAAATTGGGTGTGGGTGTGGGTTTGAGTGTGGGATGTGGGTGTGGGTGTGGGTGTGGGTGTGGGTGTGGGTGTGGGTGTGGGTGTGGGTGTGAGTGTGGGTGTGGGTGTGAGTTTTTGGGTGTGGGATGTGGGTGTGGGTGTGAGTGTACATGTGCAGATGGCCCACACCCACACCCATCCCACACCACACACCCATACCCACACCACACACCCACACCCACACCCACACCCACAAAAATAAACAGATATAAAAAAAATATTCATTTTTTTTGCAGTCACATTTAATTTTTCATTTTTCCAATAGTAAGGAGAAATATTT